ATAACACAACTGCATTGTACTAGGCTCTATATAACTGCTTTCAATATACTAGTTTTAAGCCTATATTTAAAACAGTAGAAAAACTGTGTGTAGGCAAACCCTTGAGAATATGTTTTTGCTCTTCAAACAATTACAATCAAAGGAACAATACTGACCCCACTGCAGTCAGTGGGAGTTTTACTGCGCATTGTTTTCAGAAGTTTTTTCAGCTCCTGGAGAAATTTCTGTTAAGTCAACAGGCTCTGGTGGTGCAAACAGCTTTTTGAGGTTAAAAAAAAAAAGGGAAGGGGAAAAAAAAAAAGGAAATAACACTGACTGATCAAAGGCAAGTCTACGGCTGCATCGCCTACATACACATTAACACCTCATTAACACTACTTGTGCCTACAGAAGAAACCAGGCTTGGGAACAGCTCTGGCACAAAGTAAACAAGTCCTAGGTAGAAATCCTACTTTTTTCTTCTGATAGTAGCAAAAGTAGGAGTACTACTGATTGCAGTAGCTTTGTTCTTACCATTTATGAGAACAGAAATGAAAGATTTCACCATTCTGTGACAGAAAGTTCCCGTATGAGACCTTTAATGATCACGATAAAAACAACAGCAGCAAATTGAAGATAACAGGGGGAGTTTTCTTAAACATATTACCGATTTTACAACGTGGTTAAAATATCAGAATAATCTGTTGGGGAAAAAGCCATCAAAATAATATGACCTTGCAAATGTTTCATAGTCCTGAAGGCGAGACAGCATTAGCAATTGGTCACGTCTTGAAATTCTCCATTGATAATTCTCAGTTCTCCTGGCATTTCCATTTTCACAATATAGTGCTTCACCTCTGCCAAGAAGTGGAGCTCCTGCTTCCCCTGCCTGCTCCCTGCCAAACTCCCCAGCCACTTTCCTGGCCGTACTTCCAGCTCAGCCACTTCTGCGAACCTCTTTAAAGCACTAACCTGCCAGAAAACAAGTGCATGAAAACACAGGGAGCAAGATGGAGATGTCTGGCTGCCTCGGTGGCCTGGGGAGCCGCAGCCGGGGCAGGGCAGAGGCAGTGAGCTCCGAGCTCACCCCTTGCTCACTGCCCCGCACCCCCTCCGCTCCCCAGTGCGGCCGGGGAGAGGGGGTGCCTGTGGGACAAGCTGCTGGGGAGAGAGAGCCCTTCGTTCGGATAACCCCCCCCATCATCTCCCTCTCTAGACGTTTTATCTCACCAGGACTTAAGACTGGGATAGAATCTGCTGCGGCTGTGCAGGATCTAGGGTTTTAACGAGGATAACTTCTACCTGATCATTAGCAAGCAAAAAAGAGAAAGCCTTTCTTGGGCCCGTGCTGAATTTGCACCCATTTCACTTCTCTAAAAGCAATTTTGTTAAACCAGATCAGATGTTCTTATACCGACTTAGCTAAAATCAATTCCTAATTGATTAAAGCTAACTTGAAATAAAATTGCCTAGGCTATAATAAAGGGTGTCCGCAGCAGTTTAACTGACTGGATTTAAAATAACCCCATCAATTAAGCAGCTACAACTGTCGAGCTTTTCATGACTGGGTTTGCTTCCTCCACTGTGCTCAGGAAGCATTAAGTGCAATGGGGACCTAATCCTAATTAGTGCAGCGGAGTGCTGCTGTGGCAAAACAGTAAGCAACCAGAGCAAAGCTCATGGTGCAAAGTGCCGGCCAGAGATGGGGGTTCCTCTCTCAACTTTCCAGCTGGTCCCCTGTGTTGCCTCGGGCACGCTATCCTCCCTCTCTGCAGGTTGTGAAAGGGGATGGCAAATCCCTGGGGGCAGGAGCTGTCTTGCACCTTGTGTTTGCGGGGCACTTTGCACCAGGGGGATACAGTCTTGTCTGGGTCTGTGGAGGGCTGGCATTAGCCAAATAGCTGCCTTTTTAAAGCAGTGAAAACCATGTCCTGTACTTCCTCAACAGCACAGTCAACTGTTTTCTCAAGCTTGCATGTGTCCATGCATGAGAGAGACAATGAATGCAAAGGTTGCTGGTCTCAATTTTAAAGGCTTGTGGTCCAGGTCTAAAGTCACATCCAGACAGAAAAAAGAACACCACCAAAAAACCTTACGGCCATAAACCTGCTGATGAAAGTCAGTTGCACCAGCAGCTCCTGTGATTTTGGGTGCTGACTGTACATTTGGGGACTCTCACAGGAAGAGTCTGCAGTACAGCAGAGGTTTAGCACCAGCTTATAGATGAGGGTTTGGGGAGGCATATAATGCTTGGCTGCTTTCCCTGTTTCTCCTGTGTCAGCTGGAGGTCCCCTTGCCAAGCTGGAACCCGCACCAGGTTCAGAGCAATCCCGGTTTTTAGGAGACAGCTCTAATCTGTTCCTAAATTACTTAAAACTTTTGTAAATAGGTGTTCAAAGCACTGAGCATCGAACATCTTCCCTCTGCGAGAGCAGCGCTTTCCGCCTGGTACACCACCCAGGAATGAGGGTGGCTGAAAATTGCTACCTTCGGGGAGATGCATACATACAGGCTAGCAGAAGTTAAACAAATCATCTCCTTCAGTCCTCTGTGCTGCATATCTTTTCTCTGCCAGCCCACAGGGAACTGAAAAATACCCAAACTGCTTAACTGCTTATTCAGAACAGACGTGAGCCAAAGCTGGAATTGGTTATGCAAATGATCCTGAACACTGGATTTGCTGGTAAAACAGGATTCAAATCCAGGCCACCCTGCCTTTGTTTCTGCAAAACCAAAAATCAGACAGTGATTTTCTCCAAAACAGCTGGAATGTTTCTACGTCTACTTCATTTCCACATTTTGATTCCCTGCTTTGCCATCCAGCCCACACAACATCCTTTCCCTCCCCCTGCCAATCACTCCTTCACATTCCCAGAATTTAAATTATTTACCTTGCATTAGCCACATAAAAAGGATCCTCCTGTTTATTATGATCTACCTCAAATCAAAATTTTATACTGACATCAGTAGAGAACAATAATAAGAAACCAATGAACATTTAAAAATATCCTAGTCGTGTAGAAGCAATTTAGATCTGTCTAAAATTGAGCTTATGGGCAATGAGAGATATTGTCCAAAAAAACTGCAATTAATTCCTTGGATTTTTTCCATCAGTAACTTCTTTAGCTATCAAGAAATTATTTTAAAACCTTTTAAATCTGAATTCTTCTTTAGGAAATATTGTCAACACTGATGGAATTCCAGTGGAAGATAAATGTCACTTCTCATTTCCAAGTACAACTCTGAAGCAACATACATTTGTGTGGGTGTGTATCAATACGTGGGTGTTGTGTATATGTGTGTGCATACACGCATGTGCATGTACGCTCTTTGCACACTGAATTATCTATATATTAGAAACATAAGCTGCACAATTCAGTCCAAATCCAAGTTTGAATCTTCTCAACTTCTGGAGGTATTTGGATCTAAGCGTGGTTTTCAACCCATTAAAAAAATGGATCCTACTCAAAATTAAGAATCCATTTAAAGCTCAAACATTTCTCACCAGTAACCTTTCCTGGAGTGGCAACAACATGTGAGCTTTGCAGATGAGACAAGGTCACATGAAAAACACAGGAACTTTATGTCTCTACCAAGATAACATAGCAAGATGGCATTCAGATAAGTAACTAGGACTCCTGCTAGTGTAAATCAGCATATTCCCACTGAGATTCCTACTATATGGAAACCAATATACCATACAAAGGAACACAACAATTTCAAAATCACATTTTTATCCTTTGTTACAAAAGGAAACAATACTAAGTCAGTAAAAAAAAATGACAACTCTTGATTTGATTTCTCTAAGCATTTGACAAGAATTTCGCTTCTTCCTCTGTGTAATCAATGAACCTCATTTGTATAGGTTTTTCACACAGTAACAAAGGACTATGTCACATGGATCTGTATAAATTATGAGAAATACTGGTGGAAAAAATCAGGAACAGGAAGAAGGGAGCTTAGAAACAAGTGCCATGGTAGAGACGCTTTTTATTTTGCAGTTGACCATCTTCCAAGCTGAATTTGTCCCTTTCTCATCAGCCTTAATATAGATTTCTCCTAGTTGCAGTTCTGACACTTTAACACAATAAATTATTACACTAACATGCTAAAGCACAGTTGTATTAAATGGCCTCCTGAAGACAATTAAGTCCTTGTGAAGGCATGCAGAACAAGATGCTGCAGAAAAATATTAAAACACCATCCTAATAAATAGCTGTAATCAACACAAAATTTAAAGCCCAAATGTTGAGTGTGTGGCAACAGGCAGCACGTCTATCTGAACTTTTGTAGGGTGAACAGTGTCTTGTGTTTGAGAGAAAGACCATCGCTATGGTCACTGTAGGCAATACCCATGGAGTGTCTGGCCTGGGGGGTTGCTGTATCACCCCCACGCCATTACCCACAGGACACATACCCACCCCATAAACCTTCCTCAGGCTGTCCAGCACTGAGAGCCATGAGTTGCTGCCTCCTGATCCCCCTTGGCCATAAGGGGTCACCATCAAGGGCCGCACCGAAACCCCTCGCTGCACCACTGCGCCTGGGGGGGAAGCAGTAGATAAATGGCACAGTGGCCCTGCCCACATACACACATCACCCAGACTTTAATCAATACAAAACTGAAGCCCAAATTTTGTGCGTGAAGGGGTTAGCCATAAATATATGCCCAGTGTCAGCCAATGATACATTACCAGCACTGAAGAAAGAAGACACCTGGGCAGACGACAGTGGGAGCTGCTCCACTGCCATGGTTAGGCATCTGTAGCAGAGACTTTGCTTAATGCAAGGATGCTGACTACTTGTCTGGTTAGGCATCCATAGCAGAGACTTTGCTTAATGCAAGGATGCTGACTACTTGTCTGGTTAGGCATCCATAGCAGAGACTTTGCTTAATGCAAGGATGCTGACTACTTGTCTGGTTAGGCATCCATAGCAGAGACTTTGCTTAATGCAAGGATGCTGACTACTTGTCTGGTTAGGCATCCATAGCAGAGACTTTGCTTAATGCAAGGATGCTGACTACTTGTCTGGTTAGGCATCCATAGCAGAGACTTTGCTTAATGCAAGGATGCTGACTGCTTCTCTCTACCAACTCTAGCCAAGGGCTGGGCAGTCCTGAGCATCAGGCAGGCTGAATTGTTCCTCACATCCCCTCACTTAGGGGCAACAGCAGCCACAATGCCCATGTTTGGCTCCACAGTACTTCATGTGACAGCCAGCCCTCTGTCTCTATCAGTTTGATTTGCAGGTTACCACAAGGAACTTCAATAGTTTGCACTTGAATAACAAATACATAAATAAACTGGCATGAATAACACTCCTGGGAAATCAGCAATGAATTGCCAGGTGTATTTCTTACGGTGGGGGGGAAGGGAGAAAGTGAGAAGATGAATAACTGGGAGAGAATTATGCTCCAAACCTTCCCTGGTCACAGAGTATTGACAGAATAAGAAGTGCTGAACTGTGGGCTATTTGGAGATGCATTTGTCAGTTGGTGCACAACTTCCCTGAAGTCTGGGCTTTATATTTGGTTAATATATTTAGAGCTGGGAAAGACTATTAGGAAACCAAGAGATGAAAATGATATTTGAAATTAGTATTTCTGACTGTTTTTCCTTCCTCCAGGTTATTTCTACAAATCATATGTTGTGAATTCTTATCTTGTTCCCAAATCAAATAACTCCAGTGAGCAGCAGAGGCAGGGTTTGAAAGAGGAATCTCCAGTGGTCTGTGCCTCAGAGCTGTGGTTTATTCTCTTCCTTCTCAACTTTGAGGTAGCTTCATTAACTCGGACTTAGATTCCAGCCTCAGCTCCTGTTGTGGAGAGAAAAAAAAAGGGATGAAAGAAAACACCGTGATCCAGCCAGACCTTGAAAAATTAGACCCACAGAAAAAAAAGAATACAATCGGAACTTGCAAAGACATTTTTTTTTTATTGGCCTTGTAATTTCCTCACTAAACACGCTTTTAACAGCCTACCCCTCTCAGAATCTTAATTATCTAGCGGCCCCTCATAATGGACCCATTCATGCCTTTGCAGAGCAAAAGCACTGTGATATCGCAAACACAGGAACTCAGAAGATACAGCATGTTCCCGACGAAGGGCTGCACACCCACAGATAGTTGGCAGAGGGAATTTGCTACTTGGAGAACATAATATAATACAAATATGCGGATTTTTTCTTTATTTCTTTCTTTTTTTTCCTGAAGCAAGGAAGAGTAGAGGCTGTGCCTGAGTTTTGTGTAAAGGAAAAAAAAAAACCCTCTGATATACAGTTCTGAATAAAGCAGAATATTATAGGCTCTCCATCTCTCTCCTCCACCATTTCCAACTGTTCATTGACTACCATAAATTAGTATGACGTGATATATTGTATGGGCTGGAGACATTTTACGAGCTTTTGAAATCTTTTCCAACAGGAAATGTGAGGCATCACTTACTGTTCAGGCTTTTTTTGGTTTTGTTTTTTTGGAAACGAACCACAGGCTGAAAATATTTCATCTGAATCAAAACAAAGAGTAACGAGTTGGTTGGCATCCTTGAGAACTGGACATGTTTAGTGATTCAAGCACATACTTCTGCAGACCCTTTCTATGATAAAAGAAAGAAAGAAAATAGTATTATATCAGGAGGAATATAATTGCAAAGTTTTCACAAGCTACTAGCTCTGAGAGTCCTCTACTTCTGAAACCCCACTGTTTTATGTTCTCCAGGTACTTTTTGCAATCAGTTCTGCATCTTAAATTTACTAGCTGACTTTGTCTAAAAAATAAATAAATAAAAAAGGAAAAAAGAAAAATAACACCAGGGATTTCCAGAACAGAAACTACATCATATGCAAAATACAGCCCAGAAAAATTATATTCAATCACTTATATTAAATAGAAATCTTGCCAAAAAAAAAGCTGTAACTACTGCAATAAGCAATATAAGAATTTAACCAAAGAAATCACTGTTCAGAGGACATACCAACTCCGCATGCCCATATTTGTCTTTGGATGGCAGTTTAATTAATATATTTGACATTCCAATAGAAATATCCATTTACTTCAGGATCTGCTGTCCTAGGCCTACTCATTAAATATTGACCAAGGTCCTCTGGATAACTCTATAAACACCTACCAATTTTTATTTCAACAGATGTGCTCTCTCCAGAGCTGGTGTGCCAGCCAAACACCATCAGCCATATTCCTAGCTGCAATGGTAAAAAAAAGTGACCGCAGAACAATGGTAAGAATTATGGAAAAAAAGGGGAAAACCTTGTATATCTAGGACCCTCACCAGATCAAGGTGAAGTTTACTTTTAGTCCACCTCCATCCAGTCTAAAAATTGTTCTTCAGTAATAACCCTATCATATATAGTATGTGCAGTTGTGATATTTACATATTTGTCAATTTACATATTAGAAATATCCAGATTTTAAAACAAAATAAACCAACAACAACAACAAACCTCACACACACCCACTGTAACAACTATTGTATTGGATACAGAGAGGTATTTGGACCTGGCAGGCTGGGAGGGTGGGAATTTATAGATAACACCTCCCTGAAGACTTATGGATAAATCCACTCTTCAAGCAGTAAGGCAAGGAAAAAAAACTTACAAAATTGGTTTCAGGGACAGGATTCCTTCCCGGAGTCCTGTTTTTAGTCACCAGGGAGGCCACCTGGGAGAAGACCAAAAGCCAGAGATGTCCCAGAGGTATCCAACAGCCTGCACATGAGCTGCATTAGGAAACATCTTCAGGCTGGTTGTGCTCCAGGAACCCCATCACAGAAATGTGTACCAACCTAACACAACATTGGCACCTCGTAAGAAAGACAAAGGAACATAAAGAAGCAGCTAGTTTCTCTCCTTTGAAAAAAGTCTCCTCCAGAAGCGGGCGAACAGAGGAGTGTGTGCGTGCCAGACCCCCCAACTGCACCTGCCCTGGACTGGTATGGTGGCACCAGCCTCCACATTTCATGAATAATAACTGCCTGTGTTAAAGGAAGGGATCGCTAGAGAGGATAGATTGAAGGAAAGCGTAAGTCAAACAGCGAGAAATGCTTCTAATACTTGCATTTACCAACTGAAGCCCCGAGTTTTGCATCGCTAGGCAGAAGGAACAAATTGACCTCTTCACAGAAGTGGCGCACTGAAGATGTTTAATGAATTGCTTCAGAAGCAGAATCAGTTCTGAACTGAACACAGGTATCTCAGGGAGGAAAAAGACACATAAAAGCACTGTGCAAACTGCTGACAGCACTAGCTATGTGAGAGACAATCAAGGTACTTAACGTTTTAAAACACATGCCCTGCATAATAACCAACACTGCAGGAGCCTCAGTCACTCTCCCAAGCACTGAATGAAGAGGAGCGTGGCTGTACTAGGATCATAAAAGATATCCTTTAAGCCTCTTGCATAAATGCATGTGTTCTGAGTTGGAGTTAACTTACATTCTTCATGTACCTAGGGGCCATTTTCCCCCTCAGAAGTGAGGGGAGAGGGAGAAGGGGGCATCACACTATTGATTTTCTACAAACGTGTTTAACCTTTAGTAGCTGCTGTCAGCATTTCCAGTTACAATATCAACAGCCAACCAAGTAACCGTAGGAGTGCAGAGAGCTTGCTTCAGATGTAAGACTTGAGAAATCAGAGGTTCCTCTCTCAGCCCAGGGTTTATTACTTTAATGGCCTTACGCGAAAGGGTGCAGATGCAGGCGGGAAGGGGGAGGGTCTCCACAAATTCAGACAATATTTCCTACAAAAGTTACAAGAGGCCACTCTCTATTTCCCCTGACGCATTGGGTCTGAGTCAACTAATAGAAGTCACCATCTAGAATACAGACAGTTCTTCTAACAAATGTTTCCTTTAATGAGTGCTGTGCAGTATCACAGAAAAAGTGCTCAGGCCGTGGGTGATGAGGGGGCAGGTGCTGCCTGGCTTCCAGCCCATGAGAAGGCTGCTGGAGCAGGGACAGGAGTTTTACAAGAGGTGGTGGCTGAAAAACTGGTAATAGCTTGGGTAGCCCTTTGTTTCTGGGTAAATAGGTTGAGCACAGAAGCACGCAGTCTCCCACAGTCACCTGGTGCCTACATGAAGCGAGGCAGTCGCTTCAGCCCAGGTCCCCCGGAGCTGCCACCGGCTCTCCTTGCCAGCCCAGCCCGGCTGCCACGGTGACAGCCTCCTTAGCCAAGCATGGCAGCACATGGACGTATAGCTTGAACTGCTTCCTGATGCCTGCCAAGCCTGATTTATGCCAGGCAGGTGACATGTCCTCCTCGCAGTAAATTACAATCGACTTGAACTTTTTGACCAACTTACCTACGCTCTGCCTACTGAGGTATCTCCACTGAGCGTACTTCACGCACCCTGCTATGGCAGCTGCTCTTTTGCAAAAGAAACCAAGAGAGCAGAAACACAAAGTCTCTCCTTGTCCTGTGCATAGGGCCATGGGGGCTCCACATCCATAACCTGTAGATGGGCAAGGGCTGAGCCCCTCTGGCAGTGCACAGGGGCTGGCAGGCTGCCCCACCATAGCACCCGCTCCCCCCTTCCTTGGCAGTGGGTACCCAGCCTTGGTATCGCCGAGTGATGTCTGAGTTTTCCGAAATGTACTGGTTGCAATTTTTTTGTTGTTATTACCTCCTCCAACACAGTTTGGGCTTGCAATATTAAGACAGCTTGGGTTTACATACAGAGGGAATACAAATAGCTTCCCTGCAAAATAAGTGGTGAAAACACACCACTCGACGGTGCTGCGTGGCTTCCAGGATTTATGGGCTCCCGTTTGGGATGAACTGTGCAGTTCTCTTGTGGCGCTGCCATTATGAATAATGCGGCCACGCTAAACTCACACTAATAAAACCTGAATGTATCACCGCATTGTTCGGTGCTCTGTATAGGAGAAACCCATCCATTAGCAAGGCGGGCACTGAAAACTCTTTGTGACAGGAGCAGCGCAGGGACGGCTTCACAGCAGCTATTCAGAGCCACTTTACAGCTTCCTGAGCACAGCCCAGGCTGGGCTGCCTGCCAGCCGTGTGGGAAATGGCTGGCAGAGGGGGCTCCGGCCACCAGCTTGGAAGACCACATGAATCACCCAGGGAAAAGAAGCAGGTACTGGGAGTACCTGCTTGAGGGTGCTGGTAGCACGTCCGCAGCCTGTCTTTAACATTTGTCTCAGCCCACCTGTGCCTTTTACGATTCCTTTGGCAAAGCGAAATTGCCAAGACTCAGTGCAAATCAGAAAATCACCCTGCTGCCTTCCTGCCACGTAGCTGTTGGTGACCACTGGAGCCTGCATGGACATCAGAAATGTTCAAACCAAAGCAAAGTAGGCAGCCATGCCAATGAGAGGGACAATGCGGTGTCCTGAGGTGGCATGCTCAGGGCAGGGCTCCCCACTCCTGGGGCAGGAGTGGAAGCACCATGGCCTTTCCCGCTGCCACCAACCTGGCTGCAGGGGCAGAGCTGATGACCACAAAAGGCACGACTGCTTACTCAGAGCAGAGGCAAAACCAAAAGCAGTGAGAGAGTCTACCAGCAACACCATCTGCTTCCCAGCCAAAAGCCTCCAGCCTGCCTTGGTGATGGCTGACATATGCTGCTTTCTGCCTGTCCCATGACTAGGCTGGCTGGCCTCCATTTGTCCTGCTCCAAACCACTTTCATTTGATGAATGCTGTAACCCTAGAGAGTTACCCAAGAATGTACTAGCTTTAACCCTAGAGAGTTAACCAAGAATGTACTAACACCATGCCTTATATTTCTTCTGCATGAAGATCCTAACAAATATCTTTACTAAGTTCAACTACCTTCCTTTAAAGAAACCCACGACTTTGCTTCTGGATTTGCCTTTCCTCCAAGCAGCAGTATTTAGACATGCAAAACAGTCCTGAAAATTCAACCGACTGCTGTGGCACAAAAAGAGCCCTGATGAGAAAGTTTGAATTGAACATCTTTCAGTGGATGACAAATCTTGGCCTGCCTGAAGCCTTTGAAAGCCCGAAATGCAATGCAAATTAAAGTTCAAGGAGCCTAGAAGAAAACTATCTTAGCTTTAGGCTTTCAACCAAGCAAAAAAGAGTTAAAAATTTTATTTTAAAGAGCAGTTCAATCATTTGCTTTCCCAGTATTAATGAACGCCGTCTGCATGTTCCCCCAGATAAGGCTGTGATTCACGTAGCAGGCATACCCCAGAAACTCAAAAGGTCAAAAAGATGGCAACAAAGAATTTTGTTAATATTACCTAGAATCCACTCTGTTCCTTTGGCTATTTTAGTATCAGTAAATAACTCTCTACGTTTTCTGACCTAAGCAGTTCCGTTTGAGAAGCTTCCCAGCCTGGATGTTTCTAAAATGTTACCAAATGATTAAACACAAATCCTCAAATGAAGAGAGCGAGTTTTATTAAATATCCCAGAGCAGTGCTGTCTACCCACACTTATGCCCATGTCTGGCTGCTGGCTGATAAACGCCTTGGCTTTAAGATATTACTTATTAGCATGCCTGTATATTTCCACCTCACACAGTCACCCAAGGGTGATTACTATCTGTTAATTGAATTCCATGCCAGCAACTGTGTCTTTGTGTGCCTGCCAT